CCCACCCCGGCTGCCTGTTCCCCTTTTTCATGGGGAAGTGAGCTGGGGAGGAGATAAGAAAGAGTTCCCTGGGCATTTTCTGGTGCGTGCTGACGAGAAGCGAAGGCATGACTGAAGGTGTGTGAGCGTCTCTGGAGATGGCCCGAGGCAAGGGAGTGTCTTTGCTCGGCCATTCTGGCACCATCTTGGGGCGTAGGTTACAACAGGCGTCTCTGCCGCAGCCTGTGCGCTGGTGCTGGGGGCATGTTCCTGCAGCCCTCCTCGCGCTGCCTGCGGTCCTGCGCCGCCGTGGGGAGGCAGGCACAGAGCCGGGTGTGCAGGGCCGCAGTTTATCCTGCGCAGCCTCCCATGTCCCCTGTGTGTGTGCCGCTCCCTCCTGTCACACTGAGAACGGCTCTCTCTGCAGGATCCCGCAAGCTGGAGTACAACGGGCAGACCTGGCACGAGCATTGCTTCATATGCAGCAGCTGCCAGCAGCCCATCGGGTCACGGTCCTTCATCCCGGACAAGAAGGATTATTACTGTGTCCCCTGTTATGAGAGCAAGTTCGCTCCTCGCTGCACTCGTTGCAAAAAGGTAGGTCTGGCCTGGCAGCCCAGAGCCCCTGTAGCCGCTGAGCCTGGGACGTGTTCCCCGCTCCTGTCTGAGCCCTGCTGGAGAAGGGTTCAGGTGCCAGCACCCCGGCTGGCCGCTGTTTGCACGCTGCAGCCCTTTTCCCCATGCCTGTGCATCACCGGTGCACGCTCTCTTCCCGCAGACCCTGACCAAGGGAGGAGTGACCTACCGGGATGAGCCGTGGCACAAGGAGTGTTTCGTCTGCACAGGCTGCAAAACGCCCCTGGCTGGCCAGCAGTTCACCTCCCAGGATGACGACCCCTACTGCGTCAAGTGCTTTGGGAACCTCTATGCCAAGAAGTGCAGCGCCTGCACAAAGCCCATCACGGGTGAGCAGAATGGCCCTGGTTGCGCAGTGCTTCCGCAAGGCAGGGCATGACCTACCTGCCCCATTCCCAGACATGCGGTGACTCCCCTGGGCGAAGCTGCCCTCTCGACCGCACGTGTGACCCAGGTCCGTGTGATGCTCACACGCGTCTCCACCGTGCAGGCTTGCTCCTGTGTCTCCAGGCACTTCAGGCCTCCTGGGGACAAATGCTGGGGCAAGCATGGCGCCCTCGGGCGCATCCCCCCCAGAAACGATGGCAGCTGCGTTCTGAGGGACCCCATGGGAGAGGACTCTGTTGCAGTGGTTCTAGGGCCACTCGTATCCCTTCATCCGCATCTTCCAAAGCGGTGAACTGTGCCCCTGGGGAGGAATTCCCTCTGCCTGGGGGTAAAGGCTTCCAGACTGACCCCCCCCAGTATGATCTCGTGTCTCTGGCTTGCCTTGTTTGAGGCTGGTTGCCACGTCCCATGAAAGATGGCTCACAGACAGGCCCCACCACCAGCCGGAGTAGCAGCTGCTGCAGGGGGGTCTGGGCCTCTCGTACCTGCCTAGGACAGGGGAGGCAGGGGGTCCTCTTCTGCAGAAACCCCCGAGAGGGTCTGGCCTCCGCCCTGGCCTCCCCACTTGACCTTCCCCTTTGCGACTCGTGTCTCTTGCCGCTGGGAAGGCGGGTGAAGCCGTGAATCCGCTGGTGACTCAGAGGGTGCCTTGGCTGAGGACAGGGCAGCTCCCGGGTGCCCCGCTTCCCGTCTGGTCGCTGTCGGTTTGTCGCGGTCCCAGGGAGAAGGGGTCACAGCCCACAGGTCCTCCCGCTGCTGG